CAAAATAAGGTGTTCAGCAAGACATGCAACCCTTTTTTCACCTTTGTTACTGAAGAAGAGAAAATATAGAACAGCATGCAATTAGCAAAATAAAATTATCAGAGGTGTAGCTTCATGTTGGGGTCAGTGTGTTGGCCCCATGGATGCACAATCATTTGTGGTATTATGGCGTAATCCAAAGCTTATAAGGTTCCATCATTGTGAAGGAACCTTATGAGCAAATCTGGAATAGGATGGTTTTTACTGTTTAAATTTTCCTTTTGCATTGAATAGTTAGACCAAAACTTGAGTTGGAAAAGTACTACTTCATGCCCTGTGAACATATCAGAATCCATCACACAGCTGAAACCTTCATTACAGCCTAAGTTCTAGTTATCTATAAATAATGCATTATATATTTAAATGTTAACTATACTTTTTAAAACACTTAAGTTATTTCAATATATCATGGCCTACCAAATGATTATGCAAATATAGCCAAATATTTTACAAAAAAAAGTCAGAAAAAGGAAAACATTTGTTCATCATACCTGTTTAATTCAAAGAGGTTGATTTACTAAAGGCAAAAAGGCTTTTTACTTTTCAAGGTAATTAGCACTTTGCAAAGACCACCCAATCATGTGTAGGGAAAAAAAATATTTTTGCTTGCACATGTTGAATGATGGAAGTCAGTACAGCTTTTCCACATTCAATAAGCTAAAGGAAATGCCCTTGCAAAGTGAATAACCTACTTGACTTTAGTAAATCAACCCCAAAGTCTTGACAGGAGACATACAGTACTTGACAGGAGACATACAATACTTGATAATTTAAAGGATAAGTACATCTTTTGGACCAAAATAATAAATGCACATTTTTGTGCAGGTAAAGGAGCCTGTACAGCATTGCACCAGCGATCAGTAGATCGATGATGCCATGCAAGTCTCCTGCTGACCTGTCAGAATATCTGCTTGCCATATGGGATGTACGAGCAAGCAGATATACTGACAGGAAACTTCAACTACCACGGCGCTCCACAGCACCATAGTAGTTCTTTGAAAACTATGAGAAATTAGCCACTAAGGCTGTGGGGACCTGTAGGCACTCATTCACAGAACACTGTGAATGAGTGACACGGCTGTGTGGGCTACGCTGTTTTAAAATCTGACAGTACGGGGAAACTTCTCCCTGTACTATTCGTTGGTGGGGGGGGGGGGGGCGGCAGGCGCAGTTGCGGCTTTGGGAACATGTTACAAGTTCCACCCTAAAAAACAGGTGGAACATGTAACATGTTCCACATATGAACTTATCCTTTAATGCTGCATTGAACTCTTGTAATCAGATGAGACCACAAGCTCAAAGTAACAGACACCCCCTGCATAGGTTTAGCTAAGCCATTTCTTGTTTATATCTGATTCAAGACAGTTAATTGTAGAAATCAGAACGCACATCTATAGAGAACTATGACACCTTCTTTGGTCCAGAGACAAGTACTCATATTATAAGTGTGCAGCTCTCCAGTACTTTAATGGTGGAGACATCATCATTAGGACTCCTGGCAGTGAAGAGATTAATACAGGTGTGTGGAGCCAATGTCTTCCTTCTTTCACTTTTTGTCCATACTGAAAAAAATTTTGAAAAGAAAAATTATTCTTTAATGCTGACTTCAAGGCAGATATAAAGAAAAAAAAAGTAACACATCTGTGTATTTAATAATAATTATATTATTAATAATAATAATAAATAGTATTCTTATTATACTTAAAATGTGTAATTTTTAATTCAGTTAGTATAGGTGTCTGAATTTGATTTAGTAAGTCTCTTGTATTCTCTACTGATGGGCAAATCTACCCCAGTTTGATTTGCCAAAGTTTTGGTGAATCTTCCTAAAATGAAACTAAGGAGCAAATCCCATTAAATTCTATAGGGAGTGAATCTTGTAGTTAAATTCTGGCTCTTTTTCATAGCTAATTGGCCTACTATTCTCAAAAAAAACATGGGAAGCTGGACACTGCCATGAGGGACATGTAACAATGCAGGAAAAAATACTGTACAGCATGGAGTGGGTTTTTACATGCTGCTTTAAGGGAAACATTGAAAGTATACTAAACCCTTAAATAACATGCTTGAGTGATGCTTTAAATCTACACAGTCCTTACAGAACAGTATGATTTTCACACACAGCTTCAGCAGCAATGTACACTGGAAGAGCATTTTTGGCTGTAGAATTTATTTGTTTTTACAGTTAGCAAGGCTTACATACAGAAGCAGCACCTACAATACAATCAAAACAGGAGGATTAAGAGGGCCCCACTCATAAGAGCTTACAATCTAACAGGTTGGGACAAGTGGTACAAAAGCTTATAACTGTGGGGGATGAGCTGATGGAAGTGATAAATGTCTATTTGGAGGCGTGATAGGTTTCCCTGAAGAGATCAATTTTCAGGGATTGCCAAAGGCATCCAGAGTAGAGGATAACTGGTCAGATTGAGGTAGAGAGTTCCAAAGGATGGGAGAGGCTCTGACAAAGTCCCAGAGATGAGCAGGAGGAGACAAGGAAGCTTGAGAGCAGAAGATCATGAGAAGAGTGGAGAGTATGGTTTGGGTGACACTTGGAGGCAAGATTGGTGATGCAGAGTTGTGGATGGCTTTATATGTTGCTGATAGAATTTTTAATTCAATTAGCTGGGCAATCGGAAGCCAGTGGAGGGATTGACAGGTGGGGTGGCAGACACTGAGGGATTTCATTGGTTAAAAAGGGGCAAATTTTTAGAGATGTTATGGAGGTGAAGTCTTTCGACAGCAATTGGATTTGAGGCCAAAAGGATAGGTCAAACTCTAGGATTACACCAACTACCCTGGCTTGAGGGGAGGGACTGATAGTTGTATTATTAATCTTGATGGAAAAGTCATGTAGGAGGAGGGAATAGTAGTAAGATTATGGAGTAGTGGCCGTTGGTTTTAGCAGTTAGTAAAGCTGTCAGTGATCGCTGTGTCCTACAGACACAGCTGATCACATGACAAGGTAAAAGGCCAATCACAGCAGCCTTTTACCACGTGATCAGCTGTGTCCAATGACACAATAGATCACAAAGTAAATACAGTTGCGGTCACAGCGTGAGTAAATTAGTGCCAATAACCGGCAAATGTGACAGAGGAGGTCTGCACTGATTATCAGTGCCCTAATTATCAATGCCGCCCATCAGTGCCACCCATCAGTGCTTCCCAGCAGTGCCTCCCTTCAGTGCCACCTGTCAGTGTCACCAGTCTATGCTGCCAGTCAGTGCTATCAGTCAGTTGCACCAGTCAGTGCAGCCCATCAGTGCTGCTTATCAGTGCCCATCAGTACCGCCTATCAGTGTCCATCATTGCCGCATATCAGTGCAGCATCATCAGTGCCTCCTCATCAATGCCCACCAGTGCTGCCTTATCAATGCCGCCTCATCAGTGCCACCTCATCAGTGCAGCCTATCAGTGCCCATCAGTGCTACCTATCAGTGCCGCCTCATCAGTGCTTCCTATCAGTGCCCATCAGTGCTGCCTATCAGTGCAGCCTCATCAACGCACATCAGTGAAGGAGAAAAATTACCTGTATGCAAAATTTCATAATAGAAACAAAGAAAACCTTTTTTTTCAAATGTTTTGCTCTTTTTTGTTTTTAGTGCAAAAAAATAAAAACCCCAGTGACGATTAAATACCACTGAAAAAGCTCTATTTGTGTGAAAAAATGGTAAAAATATCATTTGGGTACAGTGTTGCATGACTGCACAATTGTCATTCAAAGTTCAACAGCACTGAAAGCTGAACATTGGCCTGGGCAGGAAGGGGGTAAAAGTGCCCGGTGGGCAAGTGGATAAGCTGTGGGGTGGAAATGAGGGGTAAAATAAGAGTAGAGGGAGCATATTAGTGGGAATCTGACGTCGTAGGAAAGGAACAATCAAATGTTGATATGTTTGCTGTTCTTCCAGAGTGGAGCAGAGTTCCTGTTGTATCCTCATACACCTTTTGTTATCCTGCTTGTGTTAAACTGCGGCAGTAAAACAGCGACAACACTCATGAAAGAGACACTCAGGAAAGAGACATGTTGTCCACAACTAACCCTTGTCTGTGACTTCCCTAAAAGCTGAACTAAGTTTATAGGGAGATGGAGCTGGCAAACATTTGTCAATTGATGAAATTAGGATCTGATTACAGACACTTGAATGAAAGTGGGAGGGAAAGGAAAAAAAAAAAACCAGACCAGGCACAGGCCAAAGTCATAAAAGGTGAATATTTGATTACCAAGGCAAAAAGAGGTAAGATTCAAATCACCTAGCATATAGACAAGTTTAAGGGATATTGCACACAGACATTTTCCATATAGCAAAGCAGTGTCAATTAGCAGTCACACATGACATTGAGATGGTACAGATGGATAAGTACACAGGGATATTGCATGCAGACATTTACCCTGTCTCTGACTTCCCCATAAGCTGAACTGAAAATGACGATAAATACAATTTGACCAGTGGATAGAAATTATCCAATACTTTGCTGCGGCTGTCCCTGTTTTCAATGATTTAAAACCAGTTTCTATCAAACTTTCATATTAATGGGGTAGAATTAGCCAAAATGTACTAGAACAAAATGTGTTTTATATGAATAAAGAGACTGCAGATGACAAAACAGTGTAAAACTGGCCAGCAGCAGGACAGGCTTACCATATTTTTTGCTCCAGAAGACGCACCTGACCATAAGACGCACCTACGTTTTAGAGGAGGAAAACAAGAAAAAGAATATTCTGAACCAATGGACTGCAGACATAGTACAGGAAATAACCAGAGACTGCAGACATTGTACAAGAGATGACCAGAGACTGCGGACATAGTACAGGAGATGACCAGAGACTGCGGACATACTACAGGAGATGACCAGAGACTGCGGACACAGTACAGGAGATGACCAGAGACTGCAGACATAGTACAGGAGATGACCAAAGATTGCAAACATAGTACAGGAGATGACCAGAGACTGCAAATGTACTACAGGAGATGACCAGAGACTGCAGACATAGTACAGGAGATGACCAGAGACTGCGGACACAGTACAGGAGATGGCCAGAGACTGCAGACACAGTACAGGAGATGACCAGAGACTGCGGACACAGTACATGGAGATAGTACAGGAAATAACCAGAGACTGCAGACATAGTACAGGAGATGACCAAAGATTGCAAACATAGTACAGGAGATGACCAGAGACTGCGTACACAGTACAGGAGATGACCAGAGACTGCGGACACAGTACAGGAGATGACCAGAGACTGCGGACACAGTACAGGAGATGACCAGAGACTGCGGACACAGTACAGGAGATGACCAGAGACTGCAGACATAGTACAGGAGATGATCACAGACTGCGGACATAGTACAGGAGATGATCACAGACTGCAGACATAGCACAGGAGATGACCAGAGACTGCAGATATAGTACAGATGACCAGAGACTGCAGACATACTACAGGAGATGTGAAAAATAAACAGCGCAAAATAGATGATATTAAATAACAAGATATCAAAACCCCATATCACTTAGTACATATTTGTGTCAAAAAACTCATTAAAAGTCCCTTGTGGTGCAAAATAAAAACCTCCAAATCAAATTCTTAGCCTTCCACCTTCCACCCGTGCACACCAACATCAAATGCACTCACCAGAATAAGGTGAATGTAGAGCCTTTGGGATTTTAATAGGGAATCCCACACCCTCTTTCCATCCACTCAAAGTTTGCCTCCCAAAGATAGGATCCTCTTTCAGGTCCTCACCGTGGTCTCCTCGCTTCCTCCACCGTGTTCTCAGAGAAAAAAACTTACATAGTGTAATATTGCCAAGATCATTCTGATCCTATTTTAAACAAACTCCAGGCCACTCACATTTCAAATGTGATTTCAAATCGCCCCTCCGATGGGAGGGGCGAAACGCGTTGACGCATTTCCGGTCCATTTGCTGTACGTCTGACGTCACTTCCGGTGAGTGGAGCGCACGCCGAGCGGTGCGTTCCAGCGGCCATTTTGTGGGATTCGTGTTGAATATTGGTTAAGTTTCTGCCTCATCTGGCTGCATTGATGTGGGAACCCTGGAGGATTTGCTGGCTGTGATTATCTGGCTGTCTTGGGCCCAATAAATGTGCTTTTATTATTCATTTGAAATGTGAGTGGCCTGGAGTTTGTTTAAAATAGGATCAGAATGATCTTGGCAATATTACACTATGTAAGTTTTTTTCTCTGAGAACACGGTGGAGGAAGCGAGGAGACCACGGTGAGGACCTGAAAGAGGATCCTATCTTTGGGAGGCTAACTTTGAGTGGATGGAAAGAGGGTGTGGGATTCCCTATTAAAATCCCAAAGGCTCTACATTCACCTTATTCTGGTGAGTGCATTTGATGTTGGTGTGCACGGGTGGAAGGTGGAAGGCTAAGAATTTGATTTGGAGGTTTTTATTTTGCACCACAAGGGACTTTTAATGAGTTTTTTGACACAAATATGTACTAAGTGATATGGGGTTTTGATATCTTGTTATTTAATATCATCTATTTTGCGCTGTTTATTTTTCACATTTTACTTGTTTGTGTATTCACAATTTTTGTACAGCAGCAATTTAGAAGAGTGATTTATTTATTCATTTATTTGATCTTGATTGGCGCAGGGATAATTTTTTCTTTTAATACTACAGGAGATGACCAGAGACTGTGGACATAGTGCAGGAGATGACCAGAGACTGCAGACCTTTGGGGAGCAGAAGGGGGGGAGCAGGTACCCGAATTTGACAGCTACCCACTCCCACTTCTACGGAGTTCTCCTCCCTCCCCATATTCTGGGACACGTGACAGGTCCCAGAAGAATGCCGGACCATTCATAAAGCACAGCGCAAGCAGCAAGCTGTCACAGCTGGGTGCCCACACTAAAGATGCCAGCACCAGGAAGAGAAGATGGCGAGGACATCGCTGGACTGAGAAACAGGTAGGACTGAGGAGCAGGTTCTGCTGCACAGAAGAGCCGATCGGTATTCTAACACGGCGGCGGAGGGAATACCAGGCCGGCCACTCCATATTCGCTCCATATGATGCACGGACATTTTCCCCCTTTTTTTGGGGAAAAAGTGCATCTTATGTAGCGAAAAATATGGTAATCAGGGATAATAGGCCTAACTGCTGTAGATCTAGCTTTTATTTGATCTTTTGGGTTAGGGGGATATCAATTTATTAACTTCCAATTCACCCCCCCCCCCCCCCTTTTATTGGGAAGAAGATGGCCTAAACAAGTGCTTTCTTATTGGCCTTTTTAATCCTGCTGCCAAAGTTCAAGGGCTGCTAAGCATTAAAGCAGGTCTTTACTCCCAAAGACAAAAATACATGGTGTTTGCAGCACTGCATACCCATTCATGTTATTTGTACACTCGAATAAGTTTTTGTAAAATTAAATTTTATATTTGTAATTCCTGGTTTCCATGAGACACTGGTGACATAGCCCTGGCCTCACAGTTCATCCTGGGAAGGCCACATCACCAGTGCTTTGCAGGGAAAGCTTGAACTGCGTATGCATCTGATTTCCATAGCCATGAAATCAGGTGCAACATCACCAAGTGGTTAACCCACAAAAAAGGAAGAAAAAGATGCTCACCAATGACACCTTTCAAAAATGGGGGCACTAGATATGAGGAATAGCAGTTCATTATCATGTGGGAAACAATAAAAGAGCAGACAAGTAATTTTCTTTAAATGTGTTTTTTTAAAACTATGTACAGTACAATAATGGTGGTATGATCAGATGAAGGGAGAGGGAAAGGTCTGCTTTAAGATTTAAGAAAACTTTTCCTGGGCAAATATGCACATAAATTCACAACTCAGGAGTTCCACAAAATCTCTAACCACCAGGGTTCACCTTGAACCCATGGTAACAAATCCAAATCTAATCCCTAGCAAAGCCATGAGCCTCAGCCCTAAATCCATGAGCAGGAGGACATGCCAGAGGCCAATCACATGTGAAGCAGAACACAGTGTATGTGATAATAAGAAACATGCTGATAGGTGAACAGCAGCTCTCCCAATCATAGGCTGGGGGCAACAAGGTTACCTGTATTGCTTTTTTGCATACATGTTGCACATATTGAGACTAAAGAATAGTTAACCCCCCCCCCCAAATATTCTATATTTTCTGAAACAAGAGACCCTGGAGAATCAAATGGTGGTAATTGTATTTTTTTAAGTCACATTATATTAGTACACTTGTCTATCAAGTCCACATTTTCAGTAAAAAATACACTAAAATTAATTTTAGTTCACATAAACACAAAGGTGTACCCAACGTGTTCTTATGTGCATGCACGTAGAAGCAGGCAGCTTTATTTATTTTATTTCTTAATTAATTTTAATTTAACACCATTTTTTTCCTTTTTTTAATTTAATTTTGTTAATATCACATAGGGGATAGAAAATGGCGGGAAGGGGGGCACATGCCAGTGTGTGTGTAGAAGAGATCGGGTTGCTTTAATTACTGGGAGCCAGTTTAAATGGATGTGCCTCTACAGACACATCACTTATGCTTGTGGCAACAAAAGGGTTAACTAGTGCAAAGAAAAATCGGGTCACTAGGCTGGTTGTACTTTCTGTCAGGAGGAATGGGTGGGCAGAACTAGAAAACATTTGACAGGTTAAACAGCTCTTTTATACACTATATTGCCAAATGTATTGGGACACCCCTCCAAATCATTGGATTCAGGTGTTCCAATCACCTCCATGGCCACAGGTGTATAAAATCAAGCACCTAGGCATGCAGACTGCTCTACAAATATTTGTGAAAGACTGGGTCGCTCTCAGGAATTCAGTGAATTCAAGCATGGTACCGTGATAGGTTGCCACCTGTGCAATAAGTACATCTGTGAAAATTCCTTGCTACTAAATATTCCACGGACAATTGTTTAGTAGTATTATAACAAAGCGGAAGCAACTGGGAGCAACAGCAACTCAGTCATGAAGTGGTAGGCCACGTAAAATGACAGAGTGGGGTCAGTGTACGCTGCAGCGCACAGTGCGCAGAAGTCGCCAACTGTCTGCAGAGTCAATAGCTAAAGACCTCCAAACTTCATGTGGCCTTCAGATTAACACAACAGTGCATAGAGAGCTTCATGGAGTGGGTTTCCATGGCCAAGCAGCTGCATCAAAGCCTTACATCACCAAGTGCAATGCAAAGCGCCGGATGCAGAAGTCGCCAACTATCTGCAGACTTAATAGCTAAAGACCTCCAAACTTCCTGTGGCCTTCAGATTAGCCCAACAATGGTGCATAGCAAGCTTCATGGAGTGGTTTTCCATGGCCAAGCAGCTGCAATCAAGCCTTACATCACCAAGTGCAATGCAAAGTGTCAGCTCCAGTGGTGTAAAGCCTGCCGCCACTGGACTCTAGAACAGTGGAGATGTGTTTCTCTGGAGTGACCAATCATGCTTCTCTGTCTGGAAATCTGATGGATGTTTCTGGGTTTGGCGGATGGCAGGAGACTGGTACTTGCCTGACTGCATTGTGCCAAGTGTAAAGTTTGGTGGAGGGGATATTATGGTGTGGGGTTGTATTTCAGGGGTTGGGCTTGGCCCCTTAGTTCCAGTGAAGGGAACTCTTAAGGCATCAGCATACAAAGACATTTGGACAATTTCATGCTCCAAACTATGTGAGAACAGTTTGGGGATGGCCCCTTCCTGTTCCAGCATGACTGCTCACCAATGCACAAAGCAAGGTCCATAAAGACATGGATGAGCGAGTTTGGGGTGGATGAACATGGCTGGCCTGGTCCTGACCTCAACCCGGTAGAACAACTTCGGGATGAATTAAAGCAGAGACTGCGAGCCAGGCCTTCTCATCTGACATCAGTGGCTCACTTCACAAATGCGATTCTGGAAGAATGATCAAACATTCCCATAGACACACTCCTAAACCTTGTGGACAGCCTTCTCAGAAAAGTTGAAGCTGTTATAGCTGCAAAGGGTGGGCCAACCCAATATTGAACCCTACGGACTAAGACTGGGATGCCATTAAAGTTCATGTGCTTGTAAAGGCAGGCATCCCAATACTTTTGGCAATATAGTGTATATAGCTCAGCTGGAATTCATCTATAACGTTTAACTAACTACCAATATTATTTAGGTTAGACATAAATAAAGGGGTTTGCTTAAATTGAGAATCCTCATGATACAAAGTTCACTTTTTAAATTAGAGGTATTCTCTTATTCACTTGCCAACCACCCTGTACAAAATCATGTATATATACGTGATTTTGCATTTCTGGGTAGGAGGCGCTCCTGTAGTTGTCATTTAGCAGATCCTGGCCAGCGATTCATGGGTAATCGGCAGAGCAGCTGACAGGAGAAAAATATGTGAGTGTAAAAAACACAAAACTCTCTCCTGTCAGTGGGAACGTGCTGGTTTTTATATCTCGGCAAAGCAGGAAGATAAAAACCAGCATGTCCCCTAGTAAAACAGCACACAGTACACAGTGAAATCACTCCCTAAAACACAGTTAACCCTTTGATCGTTCAAGATGTTAACCCCTTCCTGCCCAGTGTCGTTAGTACAGTGTCAGTGCTTTTTTATAGCACTGATCACTGTATTAGTGTCGTTGAAGATGTCAGTGATAGTTAGTCAGATCCCACCAGTGTCATTTAGTGTTAGAATGCCCACTGTACTATTGCAGTTCCGCTATAAGTTGCTGATCACCCTCATTAATAGTATAAAAAAATAAACAAATACAATTCCAGTATATATACCGCCATTTGTAGTCGCTATAACTTTTATGCAAACAAATTAATATACACTTATTGGGATTTTTTTTTTTTAGCAAAGACATGTAGCAGAATACATTTTGGCCTAAATGTATACTTTTATTTATACTATATATATATATATATATATATATATATATATTTATTTATTATTATTTTTTTTAAATTATTATTATTGATATCAAAAGTAAAAACTATTGGGGGGTTTTCTGTGTTTTTTTTTAATTTATAGCTCAAAAAAAAAATTCTGTGATGATCAAATACAACCAAAAGAAAGCACTGTTTGTGGGAAAAAATTATATAAATTTAATTTGTGTATAGTGTTGCATGACCCCGCAATTGTCAGCTAAAGTAGCGCAGCACTGTATTGCAAAAAAAATAGCCTGGTCATGAAGGGGGGTAAATCTTCCGGTGGGCAAGTGGTTAACTAGCTGTTATTTATTATTTACATTAATTCTATTGGTCTAACTATGCCTACGTGACCACATAAACTTTTTAGTTTATGCATCACCTAGTGGATCGCAAATGCATATGTGGTAAACTTGTATCCTAAAAGAAGCTTAGCAATGGTAAAACATGGTTCCCGCTTGTGTTTCTGGCTTTCTTTTCTTTCTGTATAGATACTGAAATGAGGAGTTTTCACTTCCCCCACATTTTGGTGCAAATTAGGAAATGTCCATATAATTTAGCTATTTTGACATAATACATTGGAGACATGGGGTTTTTGATTTTGTGTAGGGTGCAATGGGCTTTAAATAGCTCCGGGGAGGTACAGTAGCTCATTTGAACTACACTGGACTTTTGCTTGTGCCCAAAAAGTCCCCTAGTTTTTTCTCCATTACATTTTATTTGAAAAATTAATGGTACAAAACAATCCAAAAATGTTGGTACAAAGCTCAGAGACAGGTCTGCATAAAATGGGTATCACTATAAGGTA